CTATTACTGATACAAGCCAGGGTGCTGTTGGCCTTCTTGGCCACCTGGGCACACTGCTGGCTCATGTTCAGCTGGCTGTCGACGAACACTCCCAGGTCCTTTTCTGCTGGGCAGCTTTCCAGCCACTCTTCCCCAAGCCTGTAGCATTGCATGGGGTTGTTGTGACCCTAGTGCAGGACCCAGCACTTGGCCTTGTTGAACCTCATACAGTTGGCCTCAGCCCATCGATCCAGTCTGTCTAGATCCCTCTGCAGAGCCTTCCTACCCTCAAGCAGATCTACACTCCCACCCAACTTGGTGTCTTCTGCAGACTTACTGAGGGTGCACTCAATACCCTCATCCAGATCATTGGTAAAGATATTAAACAGAACTGGCCCCAGGCAGAACTGAGCCTTGGGCAACACTGTGACTGGCTGCCAACTGGATTTAACTAAAGTCCGGGTAGACAACATCCACAGCCTCTCCCTCATCCACTGGGTGGGTCACCTGGTCACAGAAGCAGACCAGGCTGGTCAAGCAGGACCTGCCTTTCATGAACCTGTGCTGGCTGGGCCCGACCCCTGGTTGTGCCCTGGAGCCGCCGTCCCACCCAGGAGAGCTCCCCACAGGCAGCGGGGTCTCCGTGGCGATGTCCCTGAGGCCATGTGTGCGATGGCACTTGCAGGTCTGTCCCCTCGGCCCCCTCCGAGACCATCCTCATGCCTCGGGTCAGGCACCAGAGCTGGGGAGACAGGCGCTCTCGCTGGGTTTGTGCTGTGCTGTGCCTGGCGCCGTGCTGGCCTCACGCAGAGGGTTTCCCCGGGCTCCAGCACCCCTCCGTAGCCAGACTCCAGAAATCGCCCATCTCTTTGCCGCCAACCTCCTCCCTCCCGCTTTGCGCAGCTGTTCCCGGGATAATGTTTCCCATACATGCCCACCCCTCTCGGGTGGAAGGAGAAGGGTTGAAAGCGATGCCTTTTGTCCTGTTTACCGTGGTGTTTCCAGTCCCACGGCTTCGCGTCTGTGTTAAGAGGTGGTGCAGGGCGCAGCGGGGTCTCTGTGGGGCCACGGCTGTCCCCTGCGCCAGCCACCTCGGGTCCCTCCGGGAGAAGTTTTTCAGCTGGACGTCATAACTTTGGAAGAAATGGGAATGATACAAGCTAAGATCCCAAACATACGCTGACGTTTCCTTTTACTTGTTTAG